GATAATTACATTTCCACCCCTGATAAGCCATTTTTATTATTACTAGCATTTTTTGCCCGTGCGATGCACGGGATATTATTTAAAAAATGAAAAAATAATCAATTTAAGACATAATAAGAAAATATCGTACACTAACATAGTAAAATTAAATAATGTAGTATTATTCGTATTTTTAGAACATTGGTTTATTTAAATCTTACATATTAAGATTTACAATCCAAATATATAAGATATTATCCCACGAATTTTAAAAATATTGTTTGCTGCACGCATTCATTTCTTCCCATTTTCCTTTAATAATAAACTCAGCCCTAACATTCTCGGATAATTACATTTCCACTCGTGAATATTCTCAAACCCTAGCGCCGCCGCGTGAAAATCTGCGCCACCAGGTGACACAATCTTCCCGAAAACGTTGTCAATACGTGGGAAGGAAAGAGGTGGCACGAGGGAGCTTTAACTATGTTTGGTGTATTTATGGGGAAAATTGCAATTCAGTCCCCTAATTGAATGGAGAAGAGGGCTTCTTTGAAAATTAAGGGAACTGAATTGAAAATATTAATAACGAAGAACAAATATATAACAATTGGAAGTTCTGGGGTGGATTTGCAATTTTTCACAGGGGTTATTTGAGAATTAGAGATTACATAGTGGTGAATTTTGTAATTAAACCGAAAGATTCCGGCCTAAATTGCCGGAAAATATTGTTCGGGGGCACCGTGCAATGTATTAATGAGTTTAGGTGAAAACGTCCCAATTTTTTTTTGTTTGGGGGGCCAAGTGCAAAAACGACCTAAGTTTAGGGTGCAAACTGCTGTTAACCCAATTTTATATTATAAGCCGTGAATGTTATATCCGCATATAATTTGTCAAGATTTATTTCGCTTTATTTTTTTTTATCTAACTTAAATAATATTTTATTTCTTATTCATCACTTAAGAGCGACAAAAAAGAAAATGAAAATCGTATGAATAGAATCGTAAACCTTTTAATATTTAGGAATTTTATTTTTGAAGTTCATAAATATTTATTTTTATAATATTTTATAGTACATAATAAATACTATAATTTTAGAATATAATACGTTTGAAGCTAGAGTATTTATTTTGTGAAGATTTTTTGAAAGTATCTATTTTGGATTTTTTTTTAATGACTATGGATGAAAAGAAATTACACTACCAATTAAGATGAAAAATATAAATATTATTATAAATATAATTTTAATTTAATATTTGAGTAAAATTATTAATATAAATTCAAATTTTTTAAATGAATAATTTTTTATTCTAGGGGGCAAACTGGGGTAAATCGATAAAATTAAGAGTACGAGGGGGTAAAATGCTAAAGTTCAACACTCTCATTTTAAGCAATAATCGTTAATAGTTGATGAAAACCTAAGAATATGCAAGTTTGAAGACGAAATTGGAAAGAAAATCGAAGTTTAGGGTTGGGGGAAGGGGGTGTTCGAATTTTGAAAATAAGGAAAAAGTGAGAAAAAGAGAGGGGTCTTTTTGTCGCATTTGATAGTTTAGGGGGGCAAATACGACAGTGGTGATAATACAGGGGTGCTATTTGTATTTAACCCTAACTTAAATAACTCAATGAACAAATTACATTCCGATATAACATACATGGCGTATCCTGTACATTGACAAATTACAATTGCAGCTATCCCCAACTTAAGTTAATATTATAATATATCAATGTATCGGGAATGAATAAGAAGGGAAGAAGAGAACAAAAGCAAACGAAAAGTAAAAAGAAGAAGTGCCGTTTTCGAGTGCCGTTTTCGAGAGTTGCCGACAGCAAACGAGGTCTGATTTTCAAGATCATAAACAGAGGAAACGTGTGAAGCAACTACATGGGAGAGTTTATGTTTATGCACTAAGAAATCATAAACCGCTGGGGTGTTCGGTTTACTGCAACTTGAGGTAGAGAAATAAAGCAGCGAAATTGAGAATGAAAAATTGTTCGGAGAAATGAAGGCTAGATTTTTGCGACGAAGTGCGTAACAGCTCATGGTGAATCAACGAACAGTGAAAACTCACTCGCCTACCGAAATCGAAGTGTCGGAGAGCAGAATTTGTTTTTCCAGAACAGTCCCGATTGAAAATTGCGCAGAATCGTTGCTCCTGGGAAAGAAAGAAGAAGATGAGAATAAATTACAGATTAAAGTATTTAATTTGAAAATATAATTATGCCCAGAGTCATGTTCAATGCACACGTTATAAATTCCGGCAAAAATAGCCGGAAAATAGACAATATATGGCAATCTGTTACAAAATAATGAGTCAGGTGCGAACGTGCTAATTTTTTTTTTAAAGTGGCAAATTCCATGTTCATATTAGAAGAGTTTTTTTTTGGATAAATTTGTTAGAAGAGTTCATTTGTGGAAAGAAGTATGAATGTCGACCCCTAGATATGTACTAATTTTTTAGCTTTGGTATCTATCATAATCAATAATAATTTGCTTTTTCTTTTTTTGTTTTTCTGTTTTTATTTTTTGGACAGGTTTTGGACGGATTTGCCGATCAGGATATTTTTGTTCCTTTCATGGATCTTTTCCATTTTTTTGTTTAACTTAGGAATAACTAATGCACATACCTCACAAGAGCATGTGCTAATTTGTGTAGTAGGTGTTCTTATGTGTATTATTATTGTGATAGTAGTAAGAGTAGCAAACGAGGATCCAGAGGAGGGTCTACCTAATAAGGGAGACAACTTAGAATAAGTAATTCAAATATGACGTATAATTTTCTCAATAATGAGTGATACCATTAATTTTCACTTTCATTTTTGCAAAAAAGAAAAAAATAATAATAAAAAAAAAAGAAAAAAAAATGGTTTTTTCCAACTTAAATACTTATATTACTAATATTTTTTTTCCAATTATTATATATATATATATATATATATATATATATATATATATATATATATATATATATATATATATATAAAACATGCAAAAGTCAAAAACTCAAAATTTATTAAAATTACTTCGAACCCCAATTTCCCGACTCTCTCTCTCAGCAATCCGACCACCAGCGCCTTCTCCGACGACCACCACCATCACTGCCTTCCGGTTCTCCGACGACCACCACCACTAGCGCATCTCGGCTCTCCGACGACCACCACCACCAGTAGCGCCTCCCAATTCTCCGACGACCACCACCACTTGCGCCTCCCGATTCCCCAGGCCTACACCCAAGGTAAGAACCCTAATTTCAGTTTTTGGGGATTTTTCAATTTTGATCCGAATTGACTTGTTCTTCGCGTGGATTTCAGAAATTTGATTTTTAGTTCGTATTAACTCCAATCTCTTGCTTGAATTTGAACAAGAACTCATTTTTAAGAATTGTCCCTAGCACTGTTATCTTTTATTTTGGGGTCAAGTTCTTGGGTAATCTTTTTATTTACCCCAGGCCTACGCCTAAGGTAAGAACCCTAATTTCAGTTTTTTGGGATTTTTCAATTTTGATCCGAATTGACTTGTTCTTCGCGTGGATTTCAGAAATTTGATTTTTAGTTCGAATTAACTCCAATCTCTGGCTTGAATTTGAACAAGAACTCATTTTTAAGAATTGTCCCTAGCACTGTTATCTTTTATTTTGGGGTCAAGTTCTTGGGTAATCTTTTTATTTAAGAAACATTTGATGATGTGGTGACTTAGCCATTTTTGAGGTCAAGTTCTTGGGGTCAAGTTCTTGAATATGATTAACTCCTTGTTTTACAGAAGTCGAAAGTAAGAGGCAAAGGTTGGTTCTTCGTTTATAAATATGGTACGCCTTCTCCATTCATTAATTAACATGTTCAAATTTATTATCTTTATTTGTTTAGTATTCTCACATAAAATTAATATTTCTATTTACAGCCTAAACGCAAATCTAAAAACGTTGTGGTTGAAGACAATCGTTGTACTATCAAGGCTATGAACCACATAGAAGTTTTGCGCAGATGGCAACCACATGCGCGGGTGATAGATAAGATACGTCATACTTGCCTTTATAAATATGCCAATTTACTTATTGGGGACCGAAATATGTTACCTGTTAGAGAAGACAATTCTTTAACTACGTTTCTCATCAAAAATTATGATGAGGAAAAATCTTGTTTTAAGATATGTAAGAGTATGTTTTTTTTTGGATTAGAAGATATTTATTTTATTACTGGACTTCCGGTTATAGGAGAGCCCATAGTAGCAAATGAAGAGAACCCGCAGGCCACCCGCAGATACCTTTTGAAGATGGAGGATCAGAATGTTTCAACTTCTGTGAATGTAAAAGTGGGCGACATTTTAGGTGCTTATCCTTCACACAATGATGATATGAATGAGGAAGAATTGGATAGGTATTGTAGAGCCTATCTAATGTATATTATAGGAACAATTATTTTCCCAAATACACCCAACAACACAATGTGTTTGGCGAACTTTAAATTCCTCGAAGATTTGTCGAGGGTTGACTCGTACGCTTGGGGTGCTGGGATGCTAGCCCACATCCACGATGCTCTGCACTCATCAAAGAAAGATTTTAGGGGAAATTTACGAAATACTTTTTCGGCGACCTCCTTACCGCTGCATGTAAGATTTATTTTAATTTTTCTATTTTACATATTTAATTTATTGTTTAATTCGCTGAATTTATATTCGATTTTTTTATGTTAGTTTTTCATAATGCACCGGATTCCGGAAATTGCAAATTATTACTCTCTGGGTTCTAAGCGGCTCCAGCTCCCACAGAACTTCCCGCTTGTGGCTGGATGGATACCTATTCTTCTCACGGATTGCTATAACAATCAGAGTAAGATGAAGCCCGGGCCTAGGAAATCCGTAAGCTCCCTCCAGCATCCTCATTTTCAAGGGATTATGTTCTACGTGCTTACGTGGTTTAATTATAATTATGTGGTCTAGTTTGAGTTCATTAAGCATGATTATAATTCTTTATATGTTTAAGTGCTTAAATTATATTTATATGAGTGATTATCGATTTTTATGTATCGATTTTTTTATGTATCGATTTGCTTCGATTTTTATGTCAAGATAGGTATAATTATTATAAGAAAATAATAATTTATGTTATATATGAGTTTTATATGTAAGCTTAAATGATTTTTTGATTTATGGAACTCCTATTACAATCAATTGAGATTGGGTGCATGGTTGCTTTAATTAATTGTACCTTGTGTTGATCTTGCTTGTACTTCAATTTACAGTCTATGTGGGCTGAATTCTATATTGAGTTTGATTCCCAAATTGTTTATTTTCAAAACCTACAATACACCTTATCCTATTTAGCGAAACCAGCCCCCTTGAGAATTGCAAAACACTTTTCCTGTATGTTGAAGACAAGATCAGTCCACCTTGGGAATTCGTTCGAGAGCTCCAGTTTTGTTAACATCTTTCAGAATTCCTTTAATACCAGCCTGGGCAGATTAATCTCGAAGAATTGCCCCCTAAGAACCCGCATTTAAGTGGAAACGAACCAAACTCTACTAAGAAACGAGCTACAGCCCCTGTTTCTCCAAGCAAAGTGTTCTTTTTTCATTTCATTCATCAATTTCTGCATTTCATTGGCTAAGAGGCGAGAACCTCTTGGGTTCTTTCTGATTATTGAAACACATACACATGAATTAGGTTAAATAAGCTATAATTTTCAGATTTTAATTGGATTTATGTTGTGCGAGGCTGTTGCTCGATTTTGGTGCGAATTTACGTGTTTTATTGTGTAAATTGCTTCGAGTTCTTGTTTCAAATTTCATGGGTTCTCTATTTTCATGGGTGCATTTGACCTACAGCCCGTGATATTTCTTTAATATGCTGAATTTATGCTCACTTGCACCGGCGCACTTTAGTTTCGAATTTTATATGAATTACGAGATGCATTACTCGAATCTGATGAATTTTCGAGTTTATTTGATGTCTCTCCCTCTCATTTTGTCCAAGTTTCAGATGTTAATATACAAAAACTAACATTTTTTTTTGAATTGTGTAGGAAACTTTTATAGACAAGCCGTATGCGAACCTAATTGATAAATTGACTCCGGAGCAGAAAACGGTCTCAATAATCTTCGGCGCTCATGTGCCACTTCTTTGTATGAACAAAAAGTGGGTGCACGATCCGTGGACGCACTGTGGGAAGCAAGTTGAGGACTATATGCACATTCTATGCATAGGAGATGATAAAACTAGAACCACATGGAGGACTGGGGGGGCAGCAAGAAATTGGTTAGACCATTTCAAAAAAGATGTTGAAGCTTGGCAGAAGTTAATGAGGCATGTACCATCACCTCCTCTCGCCTCGTCTTCACATGCTGCTGAGCCATCTCAGTCCACCACTCCTCTCGCCTCTTCGCATTCTCCTCAGCCGGATCCTAGGAACCTTGGGGGTTCATCTACATCGTCTCCTCTCGCCTCGTCTTCACATGCAGCTGAGCCATCTCAGTTCGCCACTCCTCTCGCCTCTTCGCATTCTCCTCAGCCGGATCTTGGGAACCTTGGGGGTGATTCAGTCGAGGGCGCCTCACAGCCCGATATTCATCCCGAATCCTCCACAGCTCCTTCACATTCACCTTCACCTCCCCTCCAAGCTTCTGCATCTCCAGAGCCAGAATTCGTCACTCCTCCCCCCCCGGTCCTTCGAAGGTCTATGCGGGAGAGGAAGATCCCTCGGTATTTGAGGCCGCCCTATACAGCAGTTCCTGAAACGTCTTGCAGAAAAAGGAAGTAGAGCTGCTTCATTATGTGAGTATCCTCTTCTTTTAGCTATTTGTTTCTTTATCGAGTCCACTGGTGGGTTCGATTGATTTTTTTTTTATAATATGACTTTCACATCCAGTCAAGTGACTGGACATAGTTTTTTAACGAATTATTCTTGGGAATATAAGTTGTGAAACTTCTCTCCCTTCAAATTAATTACTCTAGATTTCCCAGTAATTATTAAAATGTTTATTTCAAACGGGTGTGAAGGTCTAGCTATTCTCGTTTTCTTTATCATGATTACTAATACATCACAGTTCTATTATCGAGTCCCACTGGTGGGTTCGATTGAATTTTTTTTTATAATATGACTTTCAAACTCCAGTCAACTAACTGGACCCAGTTTTTTAACGAATTATTATTGGGAACTCTAATTTATTATTATTTGCATTTTATCACTTGTCTTATGGGTCTTTTCCAGATAGAAGAGAAGCAAAGGGAAGTCTCTCCGGTGAAGAGTCTATGGAGCGGACTTTTGAATATATTTTCAATCTCGCCCTTTATTTTGTTCTCTTACATTTCGTGTTGTCATGATCATAATTACTTTATTATTTTTAATATTTTAAATTATAAGTTCTATACAATTTTTTTTGTCTTTCACATTTTCTTCCCCTTTATTATTTTTTTTAGCCACTTACATTTATTATTATTCAGCACACATATTTTTTAGAGTAAAAAGCAGTTTGCCCCCTAAACTATAGACCGTTTTGCACTTTGCCTCCCAAACAAAAATTTTTTGCACGTTTTTACCCGAACTCACTAATTCGTGGTACGGTGCCCCCTAAACTGAAATTTCCGACAATTTTGATCGGAATATTAAAACATGTGCCTTGCACATGATATTTGCAGGGGTAAATTCGTCACTTCACTTATATTCTATATTTTAACTTTAACTATGAATTAATCATTAAAAAAATAAAAATAAAATTATCATGTTTCTTCTTTCGCCACAAGCCACAAAATCTGTCTGTCCCCAGCCGCCGATTCTTAGTCAAACTGTAAAAATCGTTAAGCCCACGAAGAGTAGTGAAGTGGGGTTTTGGTATAGCAGCTCTATGCCACAGCAGCGTTTGTGCTTCTTCCGCTTGGGGCAAGTCGCCGATAGCATTGGAGTTGGGGTCTGAATCTGAACCCCTTTGACTGAATATGGATTGAAAAAGTCATAAGCAGAGTGTTTATTGGAAGATTCAGATTTGGTGATAGTAAAAATCAGAGCAAGGTAAGCTATCAACACACCACCAATCCACTTCTTCATCATCCCCAACTTCTTCTTGTGGTGGGTTTCTTCGACCCGACCCATTTTCACCGTCCGGAAATCCATCCATCGTTAGCCCTAATAGCTCCTAGTGTGTGTTTGGGGAATGTCGAGTTGATTTATGATTAGTTTTGATTGTTGAAATTTGCTTTGCCTAGAAATTGGTGCACAAAGGGTTTTGGAGATGAAAAGAAGTAGCCATGATTGAATCAAAGAGTTGGGGAAGAAGACCGAAATGGAGAGGAAGAGAAAAAAATTGAAGTCAGACAAGAATAAAATAAAAAGACAAATTTGCCCCTCCAAATCTCACGTGAATGGCACGTGCGTGAGATTCCGGTGACATTTGCCGGAAAATACCATTTTCAGGGTACCGTGCAACAAAAAAACGAGTTTAGGTAAAAACGTGCAAAAAAAAAATTGTTTGGGGGGCAAAGCGCAAAACGGGTCATAGTTTAGGGGGCAAACTGCTTTTTACTCACAAGAACAAAATAAAAAGACAAATTTGCCCCTCCAAATCTCACGTGAATGGCACGTGCGTGAGATTCCGGTGACATTTGCCGGAAAATACCATTTTCAGGGTACCGTGCAACAAAAAAACGAGTTTAGGTAAAAACGTGCAAAAAAAAAATTGTTTGGGGGGCAAAGCGCAAAACGGGTTTCGGGTTGTGCATGGATCGGTTTTAACCATCAACCAACCCATTTTCGACCCACAATTTGTGATAGTTAATCAACCATCAACCGACCCATTTAAGTTGGGTCAATAATGTCAACCAACCCATGTATAGTTGGGTCGATAATGGTTTCTAATATGCTAAAAAGTTGGTTAGTCGGTTAATATCGGCCAACCAACTTTATTCATTAATTTATTATTTATTAATTTTAATTAAAATATTTAATATTTTTAATTTCAAATTTCTATTTTATATCACATTTATTAAATTGTTTAATATTGACCAAAATCCTAAAAGCAATAAATCTAACCTAATTATCTAATTTGAACTACTGTAATTTTAAGACATGCACTCTAAATATTTGGACGATTATTATTTGTTGAATTATTTATGTGTAATTGCAATATATATGCCCGTAAATCAACCATCAACCGACCCATTTAAGTTGGGTCAATAATGTCAACCAACCCATGTATAGTTGGGTCGATAATGGTTTCTATGCTAAAAAGTTGGTTAGTCGGTTAATATCGGCCAACCAACTTTATTCATTAACTTATTATTTATTAATTTTAATTAAAATATTTAATATTTTTAATTTCAAATTTCTATTTTATATCATATTTATTAAATTGTTTAATATTGACCAAAATCCTAAAAGCAATAAATCTAACCTAATTATCTAATTTGAACTATTGTAATTTTAAGACATGCACTCTAAATATTTGGACGATTATTATTTGTTGAATTATTTATGTGGAATTGCAATATATATGCCCGTAATATTTTGAATATTTTATTTGAATATTATATGAACTAGTCGCATTTAATTAGTTGGATGGGTTGGGTTGGTTTTATGCCTGGTTTTTAACCAAACCAACCAACGCACAACCCTATTTTTTATATATTTTTGGGTAAATTACAAACACCCCCCTGAGGTATGGTTAAATTACAAAAAATTCCCTCTTGTTTGGATAATTACATCTACCCCCTCAACTATGATTTTTTCTTACCTTTATGGTGCCAAATTAAACATAGTCATCTACAATTAGACAATGTCGTTTAGGTTTGTGAGTATTTAAATTAGGTAAAATTATAGTAAGATGAATTTATCTTTTTTTCCTTTTTGGATTCTTTATTCTTTAGTATTTAAGTTGGGAAAAAACCATTTTTTTTTCTTTTTTATTTTATTATTATTTTTTTCTTTTTTGCAAAAATAAATTTAGTACTTGTCAATATGCCATCTAGTACACATAAATGTAGCTGATTGTACAAATGTGTGCGAGATGTGGTATTTTGGAAACTTTAAAACAAATATGTCAAAATCACTGACCACCGCTATACATTATTTGCACCAAAGGCGAATCCCTCGCCCCAAGGGCCCCCATCCCTTGGCCCGACAAGGATTGATGCCGATATACATTATTTGATACACCATCGATCATTTATGTTTTTAAGAAAAAGTTTGCACTATGTATTCAAATCATATTATTATAAAATCATATATATACCAAGTAATGCGTACTAAAATATTTACTAGATTTGATATTTATTGACAATTAGACAATGTCGTTTAGGTTTGTGAGTATTTAAATTAGGTAAAATTATAGTAAGATGAATTTATCTTTTTTTCCTTTTTGGATTCTTTATTCTTTAGTATTTAAGTTGGGAAAAAATCATTTTTTTTTCTTTTTTTTTTATTATTATTTTTTTCTTTTTTGCAAAAATGAAAGTGAAAATTAATGGTATCACTCATTATTGAGAAAATTATGCGTCATATTTGAATTACTTATTCTAAGTTGTCTCCCTTATTACGTCCCTTCTATTGTTGGTATTGTTCATATTTATATATAGTACGTGTCAATACGGCTTCTCGTACACGTAAATGTTTTTGATAGTACAACTGTGTGCGATATGTGGTACTTTGGAAACTTTAAAACAAATATGTCAAAATCACTGACCACCGCTATACATTATTTGCACCAAAGGCGAATCCCTCGCCCCAAGGGCCCCCATCCCTTGGCCTGAGAAGGATTGATGCCGATATACATTATATGATACACCATCGATCATTTATGTTTTTAATATTCAAATCATATTATTATAAAATCATATATATACCAAGTTATGCGTACTAAAATATTTACTAGATTTGATATTTATTGACAATTAGACAATGTCGTTTAGGTTTGTGAGTATTTAAATTAGGTAAAATTATAGTAAGATGAATTTATCTTTTTTTCCTTTTTGGATTCTTTATTCTTTAGTGTTTAAGTTGGGAAAAAACCATTTTTTTTTCTTTTTTTTTTATTATTATTTTTTACTTTTTTGCAAAAATGAAAGTGAAAATTAATGGTATCACTCATTATTGAGAAAATTATACGTCATATTTGAATTACTTATTCTAAGTTGTCTCCCTTATTACGTCCCTCCTATTGTTGGTATTGTTCATATTTATATATAGTACTTGTTAATATGACCTCTAGTACACATAAATGTATCTGATTGTACAAATGTTTTCGAGATGTGGTACTTTGGAAAAACGACCTAAGTTTAGGGGGCAAACTGCTGTTAACCCAATTTTATATTATAAGCCGTGAATATTATATCCGCATATAATTTGTCAAGATTTATTTCGCTTTATTTTTTTTCATCTAACTTAAATAAGATTTTGTTTCTTATTTATCCCTTAAGAGCGACAAAAAAGAAAATGAAAATCGTATGAATCGAATCGTAAATCTTAGAATTAGAGATTATATAGTGGTGAATTTTGTAATTAAACCTTCAGCGCCACCAGGTGACACAATCTGCTAGGGGTGGAAATTGGAACGGAAACTCCGATTTCCACCGAATCCGATCCGAAATATTCTGATTTTGGAACGAATTTTTCAATTCCGATTTCCGAAAATTCCGAAAAAAATCGGATCGGAATTGGAAATACATAACATAATTTCGCAATTTCCGATCCGAAATTATTCCGATTATTTCCGATTATTTCCGATTTTTCTAATTATAATATTAATATTTATTACTATATATAATATATAATATATGTATATATCTATCCGCCCGTACTAATTACTAGTATATGGTATCACTCATTATTGAGAAAATTATGCGTCATATTTGAATTACTTATTCTAAGTTGTCTCCCTTATTACGTCCCTCCTATTGTTGGTATTGTTCATATTTATTTTCCAGTTCAACAGGATATAACATAATTGGTGGGGTAAACATCCGAAATGAGCGGAGTACATTATATCAGAGTTCAACTTATGTACAACATATATTTGGCGGAGAATGTTATATCGGAGTTATATCTTTCTTTTATATTTAAGATATTATCCCACTTATTTTTAAAATATTGTTTGCTGCACCCATTCATTTCTTCCCATTTTCCTTTAATAATAAACTCAGCCCTAACATTCTCGGATAATTACATTTCCACCCTTGATAAGCCCTTTTTATTATTCTAGTATACACCCATCTATTTTTAAAATATTGTATGATGCACCTATTCTTTCCTTCCATTTTCCTTTAATTATAAAATCAGCCCTAAAATTTGCAGATAATTACATTACCACCCCTTGCAAGCCCTTTTAACTATTATATTTTACACCTATAGCCCGTATATGTAATAAGCTCTACTCACACATGATTATAGTGTTCGTTATGTT